TTTCCATCAAGGGCAGCCGTAATGGGGTTTCCTCGCATTTGGTTTAGTGTCCCACGGGAACTCGGTTAACTCTTGCGCTAATTCTATTCAACAAACCACGGTTAATCTGGTAGTCCTAGCAAGATTACCAGATTCTGTAAGGGCTTTGTTCCCTTGTGCCATCCGTCTGGGAAACTCGCAAGGTTCGTTTTTCTCGCCTTGTACATGTAGTTTTATATTTATTTATTTATTTTGTCATGTATATTGGAGGTGGTATTCCTTTGAGAACTGTATGCAATGAAATTTAATTTTAATGTATGCCGATTAGTGTACATTCAAAGTGACAATAAAGTTATTATTCTATTTCTATTCTATTCCATTCCATTCCCTCCATATTTTCTATTCTATTCTATTCTATTCTATTCTATTCTATTCTATTCTATTCTATTCTATTCTATTCTATTCTAACTCTACTCTACTCTATTCCATATTTCTATTCCATTCCATTCCACTCGATTCCATTCCATTCCATTCCATATTTCTATTCTATTCTATTCTATTCTATTCTATTCTATTCTATTCTATTCTATTCTATTCTACTCTACTCTACTCTACTCTACTCTACTCCATATTTCTATTCCATTCCATTCCACTCCACTAGATATTCTATTCTATTCTATTCTATTCTATTCTATTCTATTCTATTCTACTCTACTCTACTCTACTCTACTCTACTCTACTCTATTCCATATTTCTATTCCATTCCATTCCACTCCACTTCATTCCACTCCAGTAGATTCCATTCCATTCCATTCCATTCCATTCTATTCTATTCCATTCCATATTTCTTTTCTTTTCTATTCCATTCCATTCTATTTTATTCCATACTTCTATTCCATTCCATTCCATTCCATTCCATTCTATTCTATTCTATTCTATTCTATTCTATTCTATTCTACTCTATTCCATATTTCTATTCCACTCCACTCCACTCCACTCCAGCCCAGCCCAGCCTATATCCTATCCTATCCTATCCTATCCTATCCTGTCCTGTCCTGTCCTGTCCTGTCCTGTCCTATTTCCTTAACCAAGGAACAATTACTTAGATCAGCAACAAGTTTAATACTAGACCAACAACCAAGCAGTAAACAATAGTCTAATCAAGGAACGAATAACACTAGCAACACCGACCAAGCCCCTTATATTTAAACAGACAGCAAAGCCCAGTTCCTTCTAGCACTGATGATGTTCCCTAGTTGGGTCATGAAACATCTGCAAGAAAACAGCAAAGCTCAGAGAGCACCTAGGACCCCACAGTCCTTCCTCCTCTTCCTCCTCCACTCCACAGAGGATCCCACAGTCCTTCATTCCACAAGTCCCATTCCCTTCTAGCAATGATTGTGGATAATGAAATGATAATGAAATCCACTGATAGTTGGATAATGAAATGTCCGCAAGAAAACACCCAAGCTCAGAGAGCACCAAGGACCCCCCCAGTCTTCCTCCTCCTCCTCCTCCTCCTCCTCCTCCTCCTCCTCCCTCCTTCTTCTTTTTCCAGAAACCTCACTCCTTTCTATCATTGCTGATGTTAACTTTGTTGGGTCATGAAACATCCACAGCCAAATTCAGGAAGCAACAAAGAATCTCACAGTCCAACCCTGAGGTTTCTAACATCAAAAACGTCATCCAAAAAGCACAACAAAGAATGTTCTTTCTGCGCCAACTCAGGAAGCTCAAACTGCCCAAGGAGCTGCTGATCCAGTTCTACAGAGGAATTATGGAGTCTGTCTCTGCAACCCAACAAGACAGACACAGACTTTAGAGGATGATTAGAACTGCAGAAAAAACCATGGCTACCAACCTGCCTTCCACGGAGGACCTGTATACTGCACGAATCAAAAAAAGGGCTGGGAAAATATTTACAGACCCCTCGCATCCCGGACTTAAACTGTTTCTACTCCTACCCTCAAAATGAGGCTATAGAGCACTGCACACCAGAACAACTAGATACAAGGACAGTTTTTTTCCCAAATGCCATCACTCTGCTAAACAAATAACTCCCTCAACACTGTCAAGCTATTTACTAAGTCTGCACTACTATTAATCTTCTCATCGTTCCTATCACCCATCTCCTCCCACTTATGACTGTATGACTGTAATTTTGATGCTTGTATCCTTACGATTTATATTGTTATTGTTTCTGCTTATTTGTACCCTATGGCTGTCATTAAGTGTTGTACCTTATGATTCCTGACGAACGTATATTGTCTTTTTATGTACATTGAGAGCGTATGCACCAAGACAAATTCCTTGTGTGTCCAATCACACTTGGCCAATAAAAAATTCCATTCCATTCCATTCCATTCCATTCCATGTTTCCTATCCTATCCTATCCTATCCTATCCTATCCTATCCTATCCTATCCTATCCTATCCTATCCTATCCTATCCTGAGCTACAAATAGTCTCTTCTATCCGTAATGGGTAAATGCAGTGTTTTACTGAGATGGGAAAAGCAAACAACCATCTCATTTTTCTCCCACAGACCTCCTTCATGTTTTGGTCTGGGCAAAGTGGAGAAGAGCGGGGACTGTGCAAGCAGAGATAAGTGAGGAGACCGGCAGGCCTGGCCACATCTCCAAAGGGGTCCCACCAAGCCCCCCTCCTTCAAGTTCTTCTCCAAAGCAAATGAGATGCGCTAGCCTTCTGTAACAAAGCGAACGGGCTCTGCGAGGATCCCGCTCGGAAGCCTTCACAACTGGCCAAGATAAAGAGAGACGGAGAGGCTTCAAAGGGACCCGCACCGTTTTACTGCCAGAACTCACGCTGCCCCTGGGCTACAAAACTCTCTGTCGAGGCCAATCGAATTCTCCTGGTGGGTAGAGGTGCAACAGATGCGGCTGGAGATTGAAAGCTTGTCGAGAGCTGGGCTTGGCAATGCGCTAAAGAATATCTAGTAACGCAAATCTTACTTTCAGCTTCGTAGAAATTCCCTGATAGCAATAGCAATAAGACTTATATACTGCTTCATGGGGGCTTTAGAGCCCTGTCTAAGCGGTTTACAGAGTCAGCCTCTTGCCCCCAACAATTTGGGTCCACTCTTTACCCACCTCGGAAGGATGGAAGGCTGAGTCAACCTTGAGGCTCAAACTCCTGGCAGTGAGCTTTCTCTCCCTCTCCCTCTCTCCATCCATCCCTCCTTCCCTCCCTTCCTCTCTCCATGCCTCCATCTATCTATTTATCTATTTATCTATTTATCTATTTATCTATTTATCTATCTATCTATCTATCTATCTATCTATCTATCTATCTATCATCTATCTATCTATCTATCTATCTCAATAGTGCTTAGACTTATATACCGCTTCACAGCTCTCTCTAAGCGGTTTACAGAGTCAGCCTATTACCCCCAACAATTTGGGTCCTCATTTTACTGACCTCAGAAGGATGGAAGGCTGAGTCAACCTTGAGGCTCAAACTCCTCGCAGTGAGCTTTCTCTCCCTCTCCCTCTCCCTCTCTCCATCCATCCCTCCATCCCTCTCTCTCTCCATCCCTCTATCTATCTATCTATCTATCTATCTATCTATCTATCTATCTATCTATCTATCTCAATAGGGCTTAGACTTATATACCGCTTCACAGCCCCCTCTAAGCGGTTTACAGAGTCAGCCTCTTGCCTCCAAAAATCTGGGTCCTCATTTTACCAACCTCGGAAGGATGGAAGGCTGAGTCGACCTGGAGCCGGTCAGGATCGAACCCCTGGCAGTCAGCAGAATTAGCCTGCAATACCGCATTCTAACCAAGGTGCCACCACGGCGCAGGCAATACCTTTTCATGCCTAGCCACCATGTCAATTGCTGGATTAACACCCAGGGTTTATTCATACTATATTGAGTGCTGAGTTTGCAATCACACAACCCCAAACTTTGTTCTATCAGGAAATTCCTCCTTGGTTCCAGGTTGCTTCTCTCCTTGATAAGTTTCCATCTGTTGCTTCGTGTCCTGCCTTCAGGGGTTTTGGAGAATGCTAACCCTCCCCCCCAATTTCTCTATGACAGCCCCACAAGGACTGGGTGGGTTCTAATTTTTTTTACTACCGGTTCTGTGGGCGTGGCTTATTTTGTGGGTGTGGCTTGGGGGGGTCATATGACTAGGTGGGCGTGGCTAGCTGGTCAGTCATTTCTGGAAGGTCCTCGCACTTACGACCGGACTCATTTGTTTGCTTTTAACACTGATCAGCTGTAGGGCGGCCCTTTGAAGCCCCAAAACAGTTTTTTTCCCTCCTGTCATCAGCTGGGACTCAGGAGGCAGCAATAGATTGGGGGTGGGACCAAATAAAAGGTAAGAATAACGTGGGGGAGTGGGGGGGCGGGGGGGGAGAACTGGTTTGGTGACATCATATTGTCACCGCTACCGGCTCGGCCAAACCGGACCGAACCGGAAGGAACCCACCACTGGACTGGAAGATGTTTTTTTGGGAGTTTGATGTACAGGTAGCCTTCGATTTATGACCGCAATTGAGCCCCATGCTTTCTGTTGTTAAGTGAGACAGTCGTTAAGTGAGTTTTGACCGATTTCACAAACTTTCTGGCCACAATTGTTAAGTGAATCACTGCAGTTGTTAAGTCAGGAACATGGTTGTTAAGCGAATCTGGCTTCCCCGTTGACTTTGATATGTCAGAAGGTCGCAAAAGGGGATCACAGGACCTCGGGACAAGGCAACTGTCATAAATACGAGTCAGTTGCCAAGCTGTCTGAATTTACATCATGTGACTGCAATGATCGTTAAGTGTGAAAAATAGCCGTAAGTCACTTTTTTTTCAGTGCCATTGTAACTTTGAACGGTCACTAAACGAACGGTTGTAAATTGAGGACTACCTATATAAAATATCAGCTAGATTCAGAGGGACTAGAAGCGAAAACAGGATAGTTGGCTAATAAAAGGTGGAGATAAGGAGATGGCCTCCAAAGAGACTGAAATTAAAGCACACTCAACACAACCCGGAAAAATGCAAGAGCACCTGAGATTCCAGAGAGGTTAATTTCCTTCCCATCATCTTGTCTTCTCTCTTGGTCACGGGGGCTTTCTGCTTTTCTTTCTCCTTTGACTTTTCCAGTTTTTGAAGTTCTTCCACATAAACGTCGTAAATATTCCACTAAGAGGAAGGAAGAGCGAGTCAGTCGCAGAGTCACAGAAGTGGAAGATGCTTCTCTCGGTTCAGCTAGCCCGGTGCTTTTCAAACGTGGCAACTGTGCTGGATGGAGAATTCTGGGAATTCCACACCTCTTCCAGTTACCAAGTTTGAAAAAAAACCATTAATTCGGTCCCCATGCAATCTCCTAGAAAGATGCCAAGCAAGCATAGAAAACAACTCAACCAAAATATAAGAGACGTGCCAATTACTGTTGTGCGACTGTACCTGAGTGCAAAGGTTTGCAAAATTTGAATCCCTACAGAAATCCAAACAGGATGAAGGATAGGAAGAAGTCCAGGCTGAGAGGCCCAAGGAAGAAAGAGCTGCAGTAAACAAGAAAATGGGTTTAGGAAGGAGGGAAGGAAAAAGCAAAGATGATAGAAGAGTAGGATGTGGCGGCAGAGCTCGAGACCTTTTAAAGTTGCATAAGAAAATTTCAGAAGGATTTATAACTAAGGACAGTGAGAAAGAGCTAAGATCCTGCCAGGCACCAAAAAGAGGAAAAATAACATTAAATAGAACTTCAGTTCCATGGCTGTTCCATTACAAAAACCTGCACACGTTGTTTTTTCCAGCATCTCCAAGTTCAAAATCATTTAACATACTTAACAAGATTTGTAAGTCAGATTTCTGAAAGATTGTCCTTGGTTGCTTGGAACAAATGCAGGAGACACAAATGGCTGTCTAATCTCTTCTCGAAAACCTCCAGCAATGGAGCACCCATAACTTCTGGCAGTGAGGCATCGCACTGATTAACAGAATAACAGTTGGAAGGGACCTTGAATAGTCCAGACCCCTGCTCTGGAAGGACACCCTAGACCTGTGATGGCGAACCTATGGCACGCGTGCCACAGGTGGCACATGGAGCCATATCTGTGGGCACGCGAGCATTGCCCTAGCTCAGCTCCAGCGCACCAGGCAGCTGATTTTTGGGCCTTCCAAAAGTCAGGAAACGTGCCATTTCCAGCCTCTGGAGGGCCTCCAGTGTGGTGGGGAAGGCCGTTTTTGGCCTCCCCAGGCTTCTAGAAAGGCTCTGGAGCCTGGGGAGGGTGAAAAACGGTCCTACTGAGCCCACTGTGCCATTGCGTGCCAAAAGCAGAGGGAGCGTAGGGGGAGGGGGTTGCTCTCGCATGCACGGGGGGGCAAGGCGCATCGAATTATGGGTGTGGGCATGCACACGACCCCCGCCGCGCGCTCCCTCCGCTTTTGGCACATGACGGCAAAAAGGTTCGCCATCACTGCCCTATACAATTTTAGATAAATGGCTGACCAATCTCTTCCAGGGATGGAGCACCCACAGCTTCTGGAGGCAAGTCGTTCCACGGATTAATTATTCTGTCAGAAAATTTCTCCTTAGTTCTAGGTTGCTTTTCTCCTTGATTAGCTTCCCTCCATTGCTTCTTGTCCTGCCTTCTGGTGCTTTGGAGAAGAATTTTCTAAGCCTAGGTTGACCCCTTCCCCTCTTCTTTGTGGCAGCCCCTCAAATATTGGAACATGCTATCATGCACCCCTAGTCCTTTTTTTCTCATTAAACTAGACGTACCCAATTCCTGAAACCGTTCTTCATATCTTTTAGCCTCCAGTCCTCTCATCATCATCTTTGCGCTTCTCTGCGCTCTTTCCAGAATCTCAGCATCATTTTTGTATCATGGCGACCAAAACCAAACGCAGTATTCCAAGTGTGGCCTTACCAAGGCATTATAAAGCGGTACCAGTGGTGAAATTCCAATTTTTTTACTACCGGTTCTATGGGTGTGGCTTGGTGGGCATGGCAGGGGAAGGATACTGCAAAATCCCCATTCCCTCCCCACTCCTGGGGCCAGCCAGAGGTGGCATTTGCAGATTCTCCAAACTGCTCAAAATTTCCGCTATCAGTTCTCCAGAACCTGTCAGAACCTGCTGGATTTCACCCCTGAGCGGTACTAACACTTCATATGAACTTGATTCTAACCATCTGTTAATGCAACCTAGGATTGTACTCTATCCCTCTGTTGACAGAAGCTGGACTGTAAGCACAGGTGCCCTGGCAGGCCCACAACGAAGAAAGGAGAAGTTACCTGGTTAGCGGTGTCTGAGAAAGTTGCTCTGGGCGGGGGCTCCATCTGGCAGGCCCTGTCCTGAAAGAAAAATGTTTACAAGGATTTCAGCCCAGAATTTGAGCACTGCGCAGTTAATTTTGTTGGGTCTATGACAACTCGCCACAGGAAAATTTGCTGCGTGCGGGACAGGAGTTATACTAATATTGAAGAAACAGTGGAACGGAATCATTGAAGAAAGGATGCCAAAGTTGGGAGAGAGAAAATGAAATGTGAATGACCAAAATTAAAATATGTATACTTCATCACTTTAAATAATTAAATTGAATGGCTGAATTGTCCCGCACGCAGCCGTTTGTTCCGTGGTAAGTTGGCCTTGGTGACTTGTGGCCACGGCGAATTGGCCGCGGCGAGTTATCCCATTCCGCCTGGGATGGCACTGCAGATGAAGCGAAGAATTTTGGGAAAGATGAAAGCATCTCGGCATTTAGTAAACTTTCCTGGGCTTGCCGAAGATATTGCCTCTTCGATTTGCACTGCACTGATTTGCACACTGATTTGAATGCTCAGGAAGATAAATCTATCTCATCATCTACGTCTGTCCTACTATCGCAGCACCATTGAGAGTTTCCTGACATACGGCATTCTTGCATGGTATGGGAGCAGCTCTGCAGCGGACAGAAAAAGCTCTACAGAGAATCATTAAAACTGCCCAGAATATCATCGGACTCCAGCTACCAGCCCTGGACGACATCTTCGAATCTCGCTGTTTGAGGAAGTTGCATACGATTCTCAGAGACTCTTCCCATCCTGCTTACAATCTTTTTGGACTGTTGCCTTCTGGCAGAAGAGACAGAACAATTAAAACTCAGACCACACATTTTCTGAATAGTTTTTATCCCAGAGCTATAATTGCACTCAACAATGAACTAAAGGGCCACCATCCGTGAGCTGTTGGACAGCATTACTTGGTCTGTTGTGTGGAGGTTTGGGTGGTTTAGGGGTGGGGAATTTGTGGTGGGTGGGGGTGTGTTTGGGGATTGTTATGTGTGTTGGACCTGGTCTTTGGGTGATAAGTGAATTTTGTTGTATGGGTATACTGTGTATACATGTACAATGACAATGACAATAACAATAAAGTTATTACCAAATATTTGTACTAATATTATTTGTCTAGTGTCTTCTTAAAAACTTTCAATGTTGGAGCACCCACAAACTCTGCAGGCAAGTTGTTCCACTGATTAATTGTTCTAACTGTCAGGAAATTTCTCCTTAGTTCTAAATTGCTTCTCTCCTTGATTAGTTTCCACCCATTGCTTCTTGTTCTACCCTCAGGTGCTTTGGAGAATAGTTTGACTCCCTCAGAACAGCTGCAGGAACTGGGTTTGGCCAGTCTAGAGAAAAGAAGGACTAGGGGGGACATGATAGCAGTCTTCTAGGATTTGAGGGGCTGCCACAAAGAGGAGGGGGGTCAACCTGTTCTTCAAAGCATCAGAAGGCAGGAGAAGAAGCAACGGATGGAAACTAATCAAGGAGAGAAGCCACCTGGAATTAAGGAGAAACTTCCTAACAGTGAGGACAATTAAACAGCAGAAAGATTTGTAGGTGCTTCACTAGGGGAGGTTTTCTGAATAGTTTTTATCCCAGAGCTATAATTGCACTCAACCATGTACTAAAGGGCCACCGTCAGTGAGCTGTTGGACAGCATTACTTGGTCTCTTGTGTGGATGTTTGGGTGGTTTAGGGGTGGGGAATTTGTGGTGGGTGGGAGTCCTGACATACGGCATTCTTGCATGGTAAGAATGGTTTGGGCCAAGATCCATATTTGTAGCCACCTTCACCTTGTGAAGGAGTGACTTAAATAGAGCAGGTTTAAATAGGCCTTGGAAAGCCGGCTTGTCAGCTATCTCCCCGTCATCATCGGATAGTTCAAAATCCTCCAGGTTATCATCCCCTGGTTCTATCAGTTCTGCCGTTCTACAACCTTGCATAGAATGTAAATGGTCAGCTCCAGATGCATGATATTGGCCAGTGTGGCGGCCACAGGGTCCATAGGCGCTACAGGGAAACCTGACTGCTGTAGACCCGCCTGGAAGATTTGGGTGAAAGTTTGGGCCAAAAAGGCCTGGAAATCTATGGACTGGCCAGACAAGGGATTCTCCCCAAGTCTAAGTCCTGCCGCGGTTGGTGTGAAGGTGGCCTCTGGGACTGTCCGGGGCAAATCCTTAACGAAGGGACCTGATGGGGCCGCCTCTTGTGATATAAATCCCTCCGGGTTCTGACTGGGTGCCAATCAAAATTTCCTCCACAGCTTTGTCCCGCCTACTCCAACTGTGCATGTCCAGTCTTTTCACTCAGTCGCTGGTGATCAGACTGGAGTGCCTATTTCTCTGTTTTTTTAGCGACTATTGTTTGGGGATTCTTATGTGTGTTGGACCTGGTCTTTGGGTGTTAAGTGAATTTCGTTGTATGGGTATACTGTGTATATATGTACAATGACAATAAAGTTATTATTATTATTATTATTTCCCTAAAGACAGTAGGTAGGACTTGCGGGCAATGCGTTGACAACCAATTGACTCGTGACAGTGAATGTTGATCAGCTGCTTAAATCACTTTGGGGTCTCTGGAGCTCCAAGGGAGGGAAGAGAACCTTGATAGTTGTTGGAAAACAACAAAGTTCTGGTTTAGACCGAGGTCAGGCTCTAGGTCCGTGATGGCAAACTTATGACACGATTGTTGTGGCCCCGCCCTCCGAGCCTATCTCATCGGAGGAAGAAGGCTCCGAACATGAAGAAGAGGAGTCGGCCAGGCCTCCCTCTCCAGGCCCCTTCCCTCTGGCACTGCCTCAAGTGCTGGCCAAGGAAGAGGAGATTAGCCAGGAGCCAGGTGTCTCTGATGAGAGCGAGGGAGGTGATCTGTCATTCCTGGATCCACACCAACGAAGGCGTGATAAATGGTAGCAGCAGTTAAGGAGGCGTGCCAGGGATTATAACTGAGTCACTGGACCACACCCCAGAGACTATATAAGAGAATGTGGTGGCCATTTAAAACTCTGTGACGAACAAAAACTAACTCTGGCTAGTCACTTTGAACAACGCCTAAATCTGCCGAAGGTTCCTTGTTTTGAACTGGACTATTTGCAATTTGTATGTATTTTCTGTTTATCTGATGAAGTAAAGCCCTTGGCAGTCGATGCTCGTATAGCTGCCAAGTTTTAGATAACAACCTGTGTGCGTGCCAAGGGGTTTCTTAACCCTTGGCTGGCTGTGTTTGTGTGTGTGTGGAGACGGGGACAGAACATCGATTGCCATAGGTGGCACACAGAGCCCTCTCTGTGGGCATGTGCGCCGTTGCCAGCTGGTCTTCTGGTTTCGGCACGCGCATATGTGCCGGCCAGCTAATCTTCGTGTGTGCCGAAGCCCCCGAAACGAGAAGACCAGGTGGCCAGCACGCACATACACGCCAACCAGCTGGTCTTTGATTTTTTGGGGCTCCAGCACATGCACCCACTTGCGTTCCGGTTTGGGCACGGTGCCAAAAGGGTTTGCCATCACTGCTCTAGGACAGTGATGGAGAATCTTTTCAGCACCAGGTGTCCAAACCGGAACACGCGTGTGTGCATGTGTGTGCGCACGCACCAGAGCCCCGGAGACTCAAAGGCCACCTAGTCTTCTGGTTTCTGGTGTGCGCATGTGCGCTGGCCAACTGGTTTTTGCATGCGCCGGAGTGCCGGAAACCCGAAGAGCAGGTGGCCAGCGCACACAAGCACACTGGCTACCTGGTCTTCAGGTTTCCGGCACATGAGAAGAAGATCAGCTGGCCAGCGTGCATGCACACACCAGAAACCAGAAGAGCAGCTGGCAATGGGACCCGTGCAGTGGTGAAATGTAAGATTGGTTACTACCGGTTCTGTGGGCGTGGCTTGGTGGTGGTGGGGTAATGTGACTGGATGGGCGTGGCCAACTTTTTCTTTTTTTTTAACTTTTAAAACCTTTTTTTTTCTGTAGCCTCTTCGGCAGAAGAGGTTGCAGAAAAAAAATGCTTTTAACAGCCTCAGACGATCCCAGCTGAGCTGCACAATCATCAGAGGCTTTTTAAAAAACTTTTAAAAGCATTTTTTCGGCCAAAGAGGTTGTAGAAAAAAATGCTTTTAAAAGCCTCTGATGATCCCAGCTGAGCCGCGTGATCATCAGAGGCTTTTTTTTTTTCACTTTTAAAAGCATTTTTCGGCCGAAGGGGTTGTAGAAAAAATGCTTTTAAATTTTTTTTTAAAAAGCCTCTGATGATCGCGCAGCTCAGCTGGGCATGTGGGGGGGGGCAGGGATTTTTGCTACCGGTTCTCTGAACCACCCACCACCATCGCTACCGGATAAGGTGATCCGGTCTGAACCAGGAGCTCTGCATGCCACCTCTGGCACGCGTGCTACAGGTTCGCCATCACGGCCCTAGAGAATAAGTCAATCCTCTCTTCTCTGTGGCAGCCCCTCAAGTATTGGAAGATGGATATCATGTCACCCCTAATCATTAGAATTTCCAAACTGGATCGATTTCTCAGATGTTGGAAGCCCCACGTGGAAAGGGCTTCACCCACTCTCAGTGTGCCAAAGATGGACCAAAGCCAATGCTGCCCCACCTTACTTTAAAGCACCGATACGCTCAGGAAGACAATTATATTTGAGAGGTCCTGAGCTGTTAATTATTCCTCAGTTAACAATATTATTTGATGTAGGTCTTTGGTTATTCGGGTCTTCTCCCACGTAAAATTGGAAGTGTCTTGGCGACGTTTCGACGAAGTCTCATTCATCATCTTCAGGCTGGTGTTCTCGGCTTCGTGCTTCCAGGAGCAATGTGAGATCGCAGCTGTCTCTTCCTTTTAACTGCTAGTGGGGGTGTGAGCTGATTGGGTGGGGACTTGGCTGTGTTCTGATTGGGTGGAGGTGTGTTCTGATTGGTTAGGGGCTTGGCTGTGCTCTGATTGGATGGGGGGTTGGTTGTGCTCTGATTGGCTGGGGGTGTGTTCTGTTTGGGTGGGGGCTTGGTTGTGCTCAGCTTAGTCTGAGTTGCAGGGGGATTTGAGCTGGTGAGCTGCGTTGTTGTTGTTTGGCTTCATGTTTGTGGCTGTGCGAGCTCTTCGTGGTGGGTGTCAGTCTGCTTCATGTATGGATTGGGAGGGGTTTAAAGTGGCTAATGATGCAGCTGCGGTCTGGCTTCTGGTCCTTGGTCGTGGCTCATTATCAGTGTGGGTTTGAGTCTGCTTTCTGCATGGATGTGTGGTGGTGACATCCTGTGTGGCTCTCGTGAGTGTGGGTCTGGTGTCATTCGTCGTGTTAGGGACTCGTTTGTCAATAAGGGCAGGTTTCCAAATGGCTGGTAGGCGGGAGGTATCGTCTCGTTTGTTCATGCTGTGTGGGCGTTTTTCTATGAAAACCCCTCCAATCCATACATGAAGCAGACTGACACCCACCACGAAGAGCTCGCACGGCCACAAACATGAAGCCAAACAACAACAACGCAGCTCACCAGCTCAAATCCCCCTGCAACTCAGACTAAGCTGAGCACAACCAAGCCCCCACCCAAACAGAACACACCCCCAGCCAATCAGAGCACAACCAACCCCCCATCCAATCAGACCTCCACCCAATCAGAACACAGCCAAGTCCCCACCCAATCAGCTCACACCCCCACTAGCAGTTAAAAGGAAGAGACAGCTGCGATCTCACATTGCTCCTGGAAGCACGAAGCCGAGAACACCAGCCTGAAAATGACGAATGAGACTTCGTCGAAACGTCGCCAAGAAACCTCCAATTTTACGTGGGAGAAGACCCGAATAACCAAAGACCTACATATATATATATATATAATATATATATTGATGATATATTTAAAAGTAGGTTTGATCAGCCCCAAAGAAAATCACTTCCAGGTAATCCTTGATTTACAACTGTTTGTTTAGTGACTGTTCAAAATTCCAACAGCACTGAAAAAGTGACTGAGGACCGTTTTCCAGACCATTGCAGCTTCTTCGTGGTCACATGATCAAAATTCAGAGGCTTGGCAACTGGCATGTACTTATGACGGTGGCAGCGTCCCCTTTTGCGACCTTCTGACAAGCAAAGTCAAGGGGAAAGCCCGAGTCACTTAACAACCGTGTGACTGACTTAACCACTTAACAATGGTAGTGAGAAAGGTCGTGAAATGCGGTGAAACTCACGTAAAAACTGTCTCGCTTAGCAACGGAACTTTGGGGCTCAACTGTGGTCATAAGTCAAGGACAACCTGTACTCTGCTTGAAAGAGTCCCTGAAAGGGGACCTTTGCCCGGTATCCAAAGGGAAGCAAGGATTCCTACCCGCACGGGGTTATTGTAGGTCTGGGAGGCTCTTTCGCTGAAGTTAAACTGGTTGGTGAGCTTCCGTTCTTGAGTGCCTCGTGTATGGACTTCCTCCTCTTTCTCGATCTGGATCTCCTGTGGGAGGAAGGGGAAAGGAGTCGGGGCTGAACACTAGCAAGGATTCCATTTTACAGAAGGGCAGGTTGCCCAAGATTCCAAGATTTAATGATAATTAATTCTGATAGAAAAACTAAATCTATCATCAACCTCAAAGGGGAGAGACTTAGGAAAACAATTGACTGGTTGTCTTATCTGTTTATCTGTTTATCTGCCCAGCCATCCATCATCTATCTATCTATCTATCATCTCTCTCTCTCTCTCTCTCTCTCTCTCTCTCTCTCATCTATCTATCATCTATCTGTCTATCATCTATCTAATTATCTATCATCTGTCCATCTACCATCTATATATCATCTATCTATCTCCACCCATCATCTATCTGTATCTATCTATCTATCTATCTATCTATCTATCTATCTATCTATCTAATAATCTATCTCCATCCATACATCCATCTCTCATCTCTCTCTCTCTCATCTCTCTCTCTCTCTATCATTTATCTATATCCATCTATCTATCTATCTATTATCTATCTATCTATCTATCTATCTATCTATCTATCTATCTGTCTGTCTCCATCCTTCCTTCCTTCTATCTATCTATCTATCTATCTATCTATCTATCTATCTATCTATCTATCTATCTATCTATCTTCTTAACCACCCAGCCCCCTCATATAGGGGCCAATTTAATAGTACAATTGTGTGGAGCCTTCTTGGGACTGCTGAAAGGACTGTGTTGTGGAGTTGTGCTTTTTGCAGGATGTTTTTGCCCTGTGTGCAAGAAGGCTCCACACCCATTTGCATCACTCAGGTGACCCTGAGGACAAAGATAAACCTCCAAGTGACCTCAATGAGCCTCTCAAAGGATGCAAATGACCAACTGTCTGCAAGGAGTATAAATCCTTCCATTCCCTACCACCATCCAGTCAGAGCTGAAGAAGCTTCTTGGATGAGAAGCGAAACGTCTTAAAAGAAAAAGCAGAAAGTCCAAATTGCCTCTTGAAAAAAGCACCTTTGGGACAATCATGACCTGGAGGACGGAGAATCTCTACAGACATTACACTTATGACTTTTGCAGCATCCTCATGGTCATGTGATCAGAAGTCAGACGCTTGGCAACTGTCTCCTAATTTATAACGGTTGCTGTGATCCCCTTTTGCGACCTTCTGACAAGCAAAGTCAACAGGGAAGCCAGATTCGCTTAACAACCATGTTACTAACTTAACGACTGCAGTGATTCTCTTAAGAGTTTCTGTACCGGAAACAAATTCCTTGTGTGTCCAATCACACTCTGCCAAATAAAATATTCTATTCAATTCAACCTTTCTCACCAATTTTCTGGTGAGAAAGGTCATAAAACTGGGACATAACTCACTTAACAACCATGTCACTTAGCAGGGGAAATGTTGGGCCCTACTGTGGTCGTAAGTCGAGGACCCTCTGTACTCAAAGCACCGGCCATGCAAAACAAACAGCAAGCATGAATTATATCCTTGGACTATTATTGATCTATTTTTCCTTCCAGAAGATTGAAAAGCAGTTTGCAATAAATAATATTTCAGGGGTCACGTGATTCCCCTTTGCGACCTTCTGGCCAGCCAAGGCAATGGGGAAGTCAGATTCACTTAACAACCGGATGACTAATGTAACAAGTGCCGTGCTTCATTGAACAACTCTGGCAAGAAGGTTGTAAAATGAAGCAAAACTCAACCATTGTTTTGCTTAGCAAATGAAACTTTGGGGCTCCACTGCAGTCGTAAGTCAAGGACCAATGGATTCCTAAGTTGCATTGGCCTGACCTAAATTTTTCCTCTTTTTAAATGGAAATTTTAAATTTGGTTTTAATTTATTGGGGTTTTAGAATTGGTTCAGCCAAATTTATTTAATTAGTTTTATCTCTATTTTAAATTTTGTATCTATATGTTTTATTTTATGGCTGTTCACCGCCCTGAGTCCTTCGGGAGTAGGGCGGTATAGAAATTTAATAAAATGAAAATGAAATGAAATGAAATTAACAGAGGGATACAATCAAGATCAAGGGAGGTACTAATACTACCCTATAAAGCCTTAGGAAGACTACGCCTAGAATCCTGCATCCAGGTTTGGTCACCACGATGTAAAAAGGACGTCAAGACTCTAGAAAGAGTGCAGAGAAGAGCAACAGAGATGATGAGGGGACTGGAGGTTAAAACATACAAAGAACGGTTGCAGGAACTGGGCATGGCTAGTCTAGTGAAGAGAAGGACCAGGGGAGACAGGAGAGCATCTTCCAATATTTGAGGAGCTGCCACAGAGAGGAGGAAGGGGGACAAGCTATTTTCCAAAGCACCTGAAGGCCAGACAAGGAATGATGGATGAAAACTGACCAAGGAGAGATTCAACCTGGAAATAAGGAGAAATTTTCTGACAGTGACAGCAATCAACCCATGGAACAGAAGTTGTCTACGGAAGTTGTGGGAGCTTCATCACTGGAGGCTTTCAAGAAGAGACTGGACTGCTGTCTGTCAAAAATGGTGTAGGGTCTCCTGCTTGGGTGGGGGTTGGACTAGATGACCTACAAGGTCCCTTCCAACTCTTTTAATCTGACCACCGGTAGTTAGAAGATTGCTCTGAAGACTTACCGGCGATTCCAGTTTCTCTCCTACCATCACTTCCATTTCTTCTTCTTCGCCTCCTTCGGCTTCAGCTTCTTTCAGTTCGGCATCCAGAGCATCGAAGTCCACAACCAGGGATGAAACAGGACCCGCCACTAAGAACAAAACGGACGAGGGGAAGAAAAACAACCAATTTATTTCAGAAGTCCCCGCAGAATACTTTCTCGTCACCAAGAGTGATGGCTTCTCTGCTCTACAGAGAAGTCCTTGAGTTACAACCGTTCGTTTAGTGATCGTTTGAAGTTATAACAACACTGAAAAAAGGGACCGATGTCCATTTTTTCACTCTTACGACCATTGCCAATGGGGAAGCTGGATTCATTTTACAACGCTTATGTGAGGGGTCTCACGAAGAATGATGGTTCGTTGAGGGCGCTTCCAAGAAAAGGTCAGCACACAAGGATGCAATCAAATTAAGTCTTTATTTAGAAGTAAAAGTGGAGTAAAATAAGGTCCCAGGCATGGAGGCATCCATGCCTGGATTGAGCCCATGGATCAGTCCCATAGGAGACTAGAACAAGAGCAGGCAAAAGGGGAAAGGGTAAAAAGGGCAAAAAAAGGGGAGAGCAGCCCCTGTGCAGGGGTTCTTATAGGGGCCCCTGGCCCCTCCCTTACAAGGTGTGTGAGGGGGCCGGAGGGCCATTAACTTTCCCCAATGGGGCTGCAGGGGCCGGAGCCCCTTGACCCACCAGTGGGATCAAAGGTGTCTCTTTGCTCCCATCTGGTGGCCTTTGAAGGGACTGCCATGACTGGCACAAAACACCTAACAGCTTAATAACTGCAGTGGTTCGCTTAACAACCGTGGCAAGCAAGGTCGTAAAATGGGGCCAAACTCACTGAACAACTGTCTCACTTAGCCACAGAAATTTTGGATTCCGTTGTGGGCGTAAGTCAAGGACTTCCCGTCGTTATTTAAAGCTGGGACTCTGGCTAGGAAATCAGCAGTAAAGACTCCATTTTCTAGCCGGAAGGACTTTATGAAAGAAAGGATGAAAGAAACAATATAATTTACAAAATCCATGGTAACCATTGCAATCGATTCTACAGGGGACAAACCTCACCTCAATTAAAACCCGGGATCCATGAACACCGGCTGGCAGTCAAAAGCCACAATCGCAAACCCTTAATCCCGCCACACGCACCAAACAGCACCAGCTCAATTGGAGCAACACAAAAATGATTGGCCACGCTACCACCCGCCACGCTCGTGAGTTCATCAAAGCCTGGCCCTCCACAAACCACCCCATCCACAGACACGCTGACCGACAGCCTACCAGCCCCTCAGAACCCAAATCAACCACACAGCCAACCAGAAATGGCACCGACCCACAGCCAACCTCACAAGCCCCCTCCCAACCAGCACTTCACCCAGTAGTGATCCAATTTTTTTTACTACCGGTTTTGTGGGCGTGGTGTAGCATGGTGGGCATGGCAGGGAAGGAAACTGCAAAATCTCCATTCCCTCTCCACTCCTAGGGGAAGGACTTTGCAAAATCTCCATTCCCTCCCTACTCTGGGGCCAGCCAGGGGTGGCATTTGCTGGTTCTCTGAACTACTCAAAATTTCCACTACCTGTTCTCCAGAACCTGTCAGAACCTGCTGGATTTCACCCATGACTTTACCTCCCAATGACCCTCACCTGATGTGACCTCCCCATCACAAGATTCACACCTGACTCACACCTGACCCATCACAAGGCCCATTGCAAGAACCTCACTTGACACGACCCACACCTGACTTTTCACAAGACCCTCACCTGTCCCCTCACTAAACCCTTCACAAGACCCTCACCTGACACAATACACACCTGACAAGACCACACTATTTAAAAAGTGTTGATGTTGAGACTCTAGAAAGAGTGCAGAGAAGAGCAACCAGGATGATGAGGGGACTGGAGGCTCAAACAGATGAAGAATGGTTGCAGGAACTGGGCATGGCTAGTCTAGTGAAGAGAAGGACCAGGGGAGACATGAGAGCAGTCTTCCAATATTTGAGGGGCTGCTACAGAGAGGAGGAAGGGGACCAAGCTATTTTCCAAAGCACCTGAAGGCCAGACAAGGAATAATGGATGGAAACTGATCAAGGAGAGATTCAACCTGGAAATAAGGAGACATTTTCTGACAGTGAGAACAATCAACCGATGGAGCAGAAGTTGCCTCCGGAAGTTGTGGGAGCTTCATCACTGGAGGCTTTCAAGAAGAGACTGGACTGCCGTCTGTCACAAATGGTGTAGGGTCTCCTGCTTGGGTGGGGGTTGGACTAGATGACCTACAAGGTCCCTTCCAACTCTGTTAATCTAGAGTTATCTGGATCCTCACCTGACCCATGACTAGACTCCTCCCAAAACCCTCACCTGACACAACACACGCCTGATCCATCACAAGACCCTCACCTGATGTGACCTCCCCATCACAAGATCTACTGACCACACGAAGCCCTTACAGCAGAATACCACTGACATCCCTTAAGCTCCGCTGAGGACGTTACCTAGCCTGGTAACAAAACGTCCGGAAACCAACCCACAAGCTTGGAGAACCAATCTCCACCCTCAGAAAGACGAGTTGAGAAACAAGACTTCGGCCAGCTATCAAAAACTGCAGATCCCTCAGGCCTTTTCTCTCGTTCCCGCACGACAGGAATCTGCTGACGTTTCCCATTTCAGGAGGAATGAAGGGTCCAGGGAGAAAATGCCTCACAGGGTGACTTTTTCCTCACGTTCTTAATAAATCCCCACTAGAAGAGGAAGCTCTTGGATTCGTCCATCCTATGTGGCTGCTCCAAGTCAGAGTTTTACAACCTCGGCTACTTGAAGATGTGTGGACTTCAATTCCCAGAATTCCCTAGCCAGCATGGTGTTTTTTTTTTATTGAAAAAAGTTTTACAATTACATTTTCTCCCCAGTTTCCCCCCCCAACCCTCCCTGACCCCCCCTCCCCTCCCCTCCCCCCAGGACTTCCGCAAAATTTAATCCAAATCAAAAACACATTTTATAAAACTTGAAACCCTCCACCCCATGTATATTTTTCACATCTTCACAAAATTCTATTATTCTATCCCTATATAATACTTTCAATTAAAAGCTATCTGATATTTCCTAGTTTGATATTTATTCTGCACATAATCTATCCACTTTTTCCACTCCCATACATAAGTCTCTTGTGTCCGATCTTTTAAGTATGCTGAAATCTTCGCCATCTCTGCAAAACTGGCCACCTTCAGAGTCCATTCATCAATAGTAGGCATAGCTTCATTTTTCCAATATTGACCTATCAGTAATCTCGCTGCTGTTATCATGTACAATATCAACTTTGTTTCACCCAATGTAAAACCCTTAACTATACCCAATAAAAACAGTTGTGGAGAAAACTGAATTTTTTTCTTCAAAACATTCTGCATGACCCACCAAATTTTTATCCAAAAAGCCTTCACTTTCTTACAAGTCCACCACACATGATAATATGTGGCATCTAGGCAATCACATCTCCAGCATTTTGGTTGAACATTAGGGTACATGCACGACAATTTCTTAGGATCTAAATGTCATCTATAAAACATTTTATAAAAATTTTCCCTCAAATTCTGCGACTGTGTGAATTTAACATTCTGAACCCAAATTTTTTCCCATGTTTCCAACATCACTGGTTCTGCAAAATTTTGTGCCCACTTAATCATACAATCTTTAACCAATTCAGTTTCTGAATCCCTTTCTAGCAAAACATTATAAACCCTTTTAATATGCATTGGACCTTTCTCTTTTATATGTCTAACCAATTCTTCTTCATGCATCATTATACCAGTTTTTTGGTCCTCCTTCGGTCCAGCCAGCATGATTTTCACTTTGTCATTATGGGGTACTGAGCATAGATAAATGGGGGTGGGGGGAATGAATTTCAACAACTGTAGAATCACAACAAAACTAACAAGAGTGAATGTTCTGACCTAGGCTTCCTTAGAAAGTATACAGCACAAACTTAATCCCGGCAAACCTCTTTAATGCATATGGCTGTGAATTATTGTCATTCCTTTAATCATCTTTGTTGCTCTTCTCTGCACTCTTTTTAGACTTCTCTAGAGAAATCCATAATCCACGATTGTTTTGGATGTGTAATGTAATATTTTTGATAATTACATGTTGTGAAGGGAAGCTGTTCCATGGATTCATCATTCTCGTCCTCAGGAAATGGCTTTTTATTTTCAGGTGGGATCTCCCTTCCTCTGAGGCGCTTTCACACGTGGCTTCTTGTCCTGCCCTCAAGTGCAGTGGGGAATAAATTGACCCATTTCCTGTGACTGCCCTTCAAGGATGGGAAGACTTCTATCGTGTCTCCCCTGAATCTTTTCTTATTAGGCTAAAAACATACCTACAGTAGTGTTGTGGTCCGCCAGCAGCCTGTGGAGTTGACAGCGGAGTCGGACAATGAGGAGGCTGGGGAGGAACATGGGCCAGTCCTGGAGTCTGGGGAAGGCTCGGACAAGGGCTCTGCATCGGAGGCAGAGATGGGGCCAGGGCCATCGGGGAGTGATGTGCGGACTCCGGAGCCTCCAGAGGCTGACAGCAGAGAGGCAGAGGAACAGGAGGAGCCTGTTCCTAGTGCACGCATGAGAAGAGCTGCCAGAAGGCAGGAGTAGCTAAAGCAAAGAGGACGACTCGGGAGTAAGGCCTGGAGATGATTGGCCCCTCCCATAAGGCTTAAAAGAGGAGCAAAGGCACGTGGGCCCTTTGCAGGAAAGCAACGTTGTTAATTCTGTTCCCAGTCGGCATCTCTCTTTGATTCTGGACTCCGTGGGGCTTTGCCAAGTAGGTCTTTGGCAGAGTGTCAAGGGAGATAAAGGTTGGTGATTATCCCGAAGGATTTTTTGCAACTAATTGGGACTCAGCTGTGAATGAATGTAATTCACAGCTGTTGCAATAAAAGAGGTTTTTTGGACTACTCGTGTGTTTTAGTGACTCAGGAAACCTAGATCACAGCAGGTAGTTCCTTTAGCTGGTCAGCGTATCTTTCAGCCTCCAGAGCCCGATCATCTTTATGACTCTTTTCTACAGGTAGTTCTCGACTTACAACAGTTCATTCAATGACCGTTCAGAGTTACGTCACTGAAAAAGTGTCTTATGATCATTTTTCACACTTTCCATGTCGAACCCTCTTGATGGTCAGGTGATCAACCTGTTATGTTAACACTTCAATGCAGGGCCTGGTGGCTCAGCAGACTGATAGCATTTCATAACCCACCTAGGTAACATCATCAGTGGTAGAAGAGAATGGGGTTTGTTCTTTGTTTATATAATAATAACTTGTCCTACTGTATCAGTATTGGTGGGAGTGTTCTCGGTGGTTCCCTGATTAGATTCTTTACTTCTAGCACTGATGATGTTACCTAGCTGGGTAATGAAACACCTGCAAGGAAACAACCAAGGTCAGAGAGCACCAAAGTCCCTCCCCCAGTCCTCCTTCTCCACCTCCAGCCCCAAACCACTCTCCCTTCAAGCACTGGAGATGTTACCTGCTTGGATAATGGGACATCTGAAAGAAACCATTTATCGGAAATGTTCTAGGGTTATGCGTCCATCCAGCACTGATCGATTTCACGTGTTTGTCATCAGAATTCCTGCTCGAGCAAGGGGGCTGGACTAGAAGACCTCGAAGGCCCCTTCCAACTCTGTCATTCTGTTAATTAATGAGTGGAATGACTTGCCTCCTTGCATCACTGGGGGTTTTGACGAAAAGATTGGGCAACCATTTGTCTCCATTTGGGTTCTAAATTTTTTTACCACCGCTTCTGTGGGCGTGGCTTATTTTGTGGGTGTGGCTTGGAGGTCATGTGACTAGGTGGGCGTGGCTAGCTGGTCAGAGTCGTTTCTGGAAGGTCCTCGCACTTACGACCAGTCCTCGCACTTACGACCCGACTCATTTGTTTGCTTTTAACACTGATCAGCTGTAGGGCGGCCCTTTGAAGCCCCAAAACAGTTTTTTTCCCTCCTGTCATCAGCTGGGACTCAGGAGGCAGCAATAGATTGGGGGTGGGGCCAAATAAAAGGTAAGAATAACGTGGGGGGGGGAGGGCGGGGGGGGAGAACCGGTTCGGTGATGTCATATCGTCACCGCTACCGGCTCGGCCAAACCGGACCGAACCGGGAGGAACCCACCACTGATTTGTCTGCAATGGCGTAAGTTTCCTGGCTGAGCAAGGGGCTGGACTAGAAGACCTCCAAGGCCCCTTCCAACTCTGACATTCTGTTATTCTCTCCCAGATTGCTTTAGTCCCAGGCTGTTTTTCATTCCTTGGTTGTGGCTGGCGCCAGGTTTCCTGCTGGGTCATCTCTTCCTTTTCCCCAAATGTGCCTTTGGCAGGGTTTCGCGACGGTGCCAGCGATTTCTTAAGATCTGAGCGGAGTTGTCACATCCTGTCTCTGTGCTGCGCGTTGTGACTTTGAGCAACCCGAAGGTACCCTGGAAAAACACTTCATCATCTTGACTTTCCCCGCTCAGCCCGCCTTATGCCAATTCCCTGGCGTTAAAAATACATTTCCCGTTTCTAATTTCTAGGATAGCGCCTGCCCTTTGGAACAATGGTTCTCAAGCTTGGCCACTTTAAGATGGATGGACTTCGACTCCCAGAATTCCCCAGCCGTCCAATTCTGGCTACCATTGGCTGTTGGGAGTCTCCTCTGCCTATGATGTGCCCTAAACTGGCAGGGAGACCGATTCCACCTTGAGAAAGGAAAGCAGCAGAAACTTCTGTGTCGGCCTTAAAGCTGAACATCTCTTTAATAATCAACGAAAGAGAAAAAATATAGCACTGATGATATTACCTACTTGGGTAATGAAATGTCTGCAAGAAAACAACCAAGCTCAGGGGGCACCAAGGGTCCCACAATCATCATCATCTCCTCCTCCTCCTCCTCCTCCTCCTCCTTTCCACAAACCACCCTCCCTTCTAGCACTGATGATGTTACCTAGTTGGGTAATGAAACGTCTGCAACAAAACAACCAAGCTCAGAGAGCTCCAAGGACCCGCAAGTATATTAAGGTCCATCTGGGTGGCTCATCCCCATGGCTTTCCTCCCCTCTCCAAAAGTTTGCCACTCTGATCCCTGTTGTGACCTAGGCTTACTGAGCCATTTAAACACACGAGTAGTCCCAAAAACCTCTTTTAATGCAACAGCTGTGAATTACGTTCATTCACAGCTCAGTCCCAATTAGTTGCAAAACGTCCTTTGGGAGAAGTCCTTTGGGGTAATCACCAACCTTTATCTCCCTTGACACGCTGCCAAAGACCTACTTGGCAAAGCCATACAGAGTCCAGAATCAAAGAGAGATGCCGACTGGGAACAGAATTAACAACGTTGCTTTCCTGCAAAGGGCCCACGTGCCTTTGCTCCTCTTTTAAGCCTTATGGGAGGGGCCAATCATCTCCAAGCCTTACTCCTGAGTCGTCCCTTTAGTTTTAACTGTTCTTGCCTTCTAGCAGCTCTGCGCATGCACACACAAGGAACAGGCTCCTCCTGTTTCTCTGCCTCTCTGCTGTCCGACTCTGGAGACTCCAGAGTCCGCACATCACTCCCAGATGGCCCTGGTCCCATCTCTGCCTCCGATGCAGAGCCCTCGTCCGGGCCTTCCCCAGACTCCAGAACAGGCCCATGTTCCTCCCCAGCCTCCTCACTGTCCGACTCCGCTGCCAGCTCCGCAGGCTGCTGGCGGACCACGATAATCCCTAGCAACCTCAGAGCATACATGGTGTCTCCAACACGCAGAAGAAGCATTGCTGTGCCCAACTTGCTTAGGAGAAGACCTACCGGAAGAACTGGCTCTTAAGCCCTGCCTGCGGCCCTCATCCGAATCTTTGAAGATCAGGTTCCCACAAAGAGAAAAGTGAACGGCCATCTGCTCCACCACAGAAGTTTGCTTGTAGGCTCTTTCCTTCGAAGAAAGGAAGAGAGAAGAACGGTTTCACTCTGGCTCTTCTTTAACCATCCCAATTATCGGCGGGAAGAAACTTGCAAAAACTCTCAAACAGACATCATAGAATTGTCCTGTGCCTGGTTACTTACCCTGTTTCCCAGAAAATAAGACCCAACCGGAAAACAAGCCCTAGAATGATTTGTCAGGATGCTCATAATATAAACCCTACCCCAAAAATAAGCCCTAGTTAAGATCGTCAGCAGACGGAGGGGTTTAGTACTGTATTTCCCCCAAAATAAGCCATAACGCGTCTTTTGAAGCAAAAAATAATATAAGACCTGGTCTTATTTTGGAGGAAACATGGTATATTTTTTGAATTTTCTTCTCCTTTCCCCCCACCCCTTCCCAGGATTTCTTCCCTTGCAGAGAGGAGAGTTTGCTTGGCCAAGCTATCTCTTCCTAAACTGCTTTTCTTTGCAGGCAAATTGTGCTTCCTTGCAAGCTAGTTCAGCTCTGCAACCTTGGTTAGTGAATTAGCACCCGGGGCTAGCTTGTGCTGCTGTCTGAAACTGGCATGATCCTAATCAATTTGATCCCAAAGCCTTCCTTTTGTTATCCTGTCGCTGGGAACGGAAGCCAAGACATTCCTTTCAATGTGAATTCTCCACTGTGTGCTTGGTTACTCTCTTGTAATCCCTTTCTCTCCAATGCATGTAAACACAAATATCGATTCCCCTTTGTTAGTTATCCCAGAACCGAGGTGAGGATTCCAAAGGGTGGGGGAAGTAGGGAAAAGGGCTATAAGATTTGCCCTTTTTTCCCAGCTTCCTTGTGAGCGAAGTTCCAGAAGAATGAACCTTCCCCTCTGTTAAGGCTCACCCGAGTGATTGAGGCCGTATCCTCCTAATGATGTTAGGCAATTTCTTTTCTAAGCTTTATTACAGTTCTGGCAACTCTCCTGGTGTTCTCCTTCTTTGGGAGGCAAAGAATTCCTGCAAATTCTAAATTAAGTGTCAACTTAATTGCAGAATGTTTTGAAGAAAAAAATTCAATTCTCTCCACAATTGTTTTTACTGGGTATAGTTAAGGGTTTTACATCAGGTGAAACAAAACTGATATTGTACATGATAACAGCAGCAAGATTGTTGCTAGGTAAATACTGGAAAAATGAAGCTTTGCCCACTATTGAGGAATGGACTTTGAAGATGGCCAGTTTTGCAGAGATGGCGAAGATTTCAGCATACTTAAAAGATTGTTCACAAGAGACTTATGAATGGGAATGGAAAAAGTGGATAGAATATGTTCAGAACAAATATCAAACTAGGAACTATCAAATAACTTTTATTTGAAAATAATGTATTAGAAATATTTTAATGTAATGAAGATAAAAAGAAAATTTATAAGGGGGAGGGAGGGGTCCAAGTTTATATATAAGTTTTATACTAAGGTTTTTTTTTTACCTGATATGAGTATATTGTGTGGAAGTCTGGGGGGAGGGGAGGGTTAGGGAGGGTTAGGGAGGTTGGGAAGTTTGGGGTGGGTGGTGGTGGGGGGAAAAGGGGTGAAAATGTAATTGTAAAACTTTTGCAATAAAAAAAAAAGTGTCAACAGGCAGATGAATGGAAAGAAGAGTCTCGTATCTCATTGAATGGGAACAATGCTATTACTTGGGGGTTTTAAGGGGGGGGGGGTGTCCAGGACAACTCGCCACTATGGGTCTATTGCTGCTGGCTCGCTGCCACTGGCTCACACAGGGGACAACCACACATACACACAAACAAACACACACTCTGCCTCTTCCCCCATTGCTAATGAGAAAGGGTCAGAGATAAATTAAGGAGGAAGGAAGGGAAAGGGAGGAGGAGGAGGAGGAGGAGGAGGAGGAGGAGAAGGACTGTGGGGTTTTTGATGCTCTGTGAGCGTGATGGCCTTCTTGCAGACATTTCATGACCCAACTGGGTACCGTCATCAGTGCTAGAAGGGAGTGAGGTTTGCTCTCATTCAATTATTGCCCTGTCAATATTGGTGGGAGTGTGGATTTCTTCTTGGCGATTCCTTGACTAGGACATTGTTTTCTGCTTGATGGTTTGTCTGGAGTTAATCCCTGCTTATCTGCCCAGGGCGAGTCGTCCCATGGCAAGTCACTCAGGGCAAGTCACCCGGGACGAGCTGACAGTGACAAGCCAGGAGTGGCAACCTAGCGGCAGCAAGCAGTGGCAGTGGCAACCCAGCGGTGGAGACCTGGGGGGCGGCAAACCGGTGGCGGCAAGCAAGTCGCGGCGACCCAGCAACGTTGAGTTGTCCCATTCCACCCTCTTAAGGTAAGAATTCTAGCAATTCTGCTTCTTTTGTCGTTTTCTCATCCCAGGAGATCCGGGGAACGAGAGAACGGAAGACTATTGAAATAACCTCAGGGATATCCCTTCCTTTTGCAAGAACGGTCAGTGGCCAGAAATTGGGGTGATTTTCAAAGCAGGCCCTGATTTTACCCAGAAACTAAAACCCATCGTGTTGAAAAGAAAACACAGCCTCTACATATTCCCGTTTTAAATTGATTGGGTTTAGGCCTGCCCTGCTTTAGAGCAGAGATGGCGAACCTTTTTGCCCTCGCGTGCCAAAAGCGGGGGGAGTGCGGTGGAGTGGCGCTCGTGCGTGCCCACACCCGTAATTCAATGCCCCTGCGTGCCCCACCCCCCATGTATGTGCATGTGACCCCACTCGCACTCCCCTGCGCATGCACGACCCACCCTGGGCCCTGTTTTGGGCCTAGCACGCCTATCTGAAGCCTCTGGAGGGTGAAAACAGCCTCCCCCAGCCCCCGGAGACCCTCCAGAGGCCGGAAACGGCCTGTTTCCTGACTTATGGTGGGCCCGGTAGGCCCGTTTTTTGCCCTCCCCAGGCTCCAGGAGCTTTCCTGGAACCTGGGGAGGGCGAAAACAGCCTCCCCACCCCCTGGAGGCCCTCCGGAGGCAGAAAATGCCTTCCCAGTGCCTCCGTGCGACCCCTGTACTTACCTGGCATCCAAAACTGGCCGTGTGGAGACTCCGGGGAGGGGAGGGGGCGGTGTGGGCGGGGCCAGCTGAAAATCAGCTGGCCGGCACGTGCTGGAGCTGAGCTAGGGCAATGGCTCGCGTGCCCGCAGATATGGCTCGTGCCACACGTGCCATAGATTCGCCATCACGGCTTTAGAGGGTCAATGGCTGAACAACGGGGGTCAGTGGAGAGAGAAACACTTACTTTAAAACTGTATCGGACAATGTTCTGTGGAGCATGGGGGTTGTTGGCCGTCAGGATGCGAGTTATTTCCTCTTTCAGTTCCTGCAGCGGAAAAGAGCCGTATCTCGCACACAATTCCCACAGGGAGTAAGTGGCGGATGCATAAACAGACACATTTATGGAATACGTAGGATGTTGGTTTTTTTTTTTATGCTGAGCTTCTGTAGGAACTACAGATTTTTTTCGAAATGAAGTATGCTAAGTGTTAGAAACAGCCGCCCTGGGTTTCTGTACTGGCTGCAAAGCTGACCTGTAAGTCAATACAGGGAGTCCTTGGCTTACGACCGTAACTTGAGCTGACAATTTTGCTCATACATTGTGACGGCTATAAAACAGATCATCACAGGACCGCTCGAGATTTTACAGGTTTTTTTTTTTTTTGCAGTACAGGGGATCCTGAACTTACAACTGTTCATTTAGTGACCATTCAAAGTTATGACGGTACTGAAAAAAGGGACTTGTGACCACTTTTCACACTTACGACCATTGCAGTATCCCTGTGATCACGTGATCAAAATTCAGACGCTTGGCAATAGTTGGTTCATACTTATGACCGTTGCTGTGTCCCGGGGTCACGTGATCCCTTTTTGCGACCTTCTGACAAGCCAAGTTAAGGGAGAAGCCGGATTCGCTTAACAGCCGGGTTACTAACTTACCCATTGCAGTGATTCACTTAACAATTGTGGCCAAGAAAGGTCGTAAAACGGGCCAAAACTCACTTAACAAATGTCTTGCTTAACAACAGAAATTTTGGGCTCAGTTGTGGTCGTAAGTCGAGGACTACCTGTACAGTGATACTTTGGTCCTCATCGTTAATTGGTTCTGGGAGGCGCAATGAGTACCAAAAACGATGAGTAACAAACCAATCTTTTTCCCATAAGGGAGTAAATATAATGAGTCACAAGGCAGCTGACGCCGACAAGTTCTAGGTTTTGCATTGAGTATCAAACAAACGTTGAATACCGGGAGAAAATTTCCATCTCAAAATGCATCAGGTACCAAATTTGATGAGTTCCAAAGCAGCTAAGTGCCCAAGGTACCACTGTATGTCCCTAATAATTCAAAGAATTTTAACTTGCTTGAGTTCAGCTCAGGGGTGAAATGCTCCCGGTTTGGACCAGATCGCCCAATCTGGTAGCGATGGAGGCGGGTGGTTCAGAGAACCGGTAGCAAAAATCCCTGCCCCCCCCCCCAATCCCAGCTGAGCCGCACAATCATCAGAGGCTTTTTTTTAACTTTTAAAAGCATTTTTCTATAACCTCTGAAAAAATGCTTTTAAAAGTAAAAAAAAAAAAGCCTCTGATGATTGTGCGGCTCAGCTGGATCGTCAAAGGCTTTTAAAAGAAAAAAACCTTTTTTTTCTTTTAAATGTCTCTGAGGATCCCAGCTGAGTTGCCTAATCGTCAGAGGCATTTAAAAGAAAAAAAAGCCTCTGCCGATCAGGCAACTCAGCTGGGATCGTCAGAGCCTTTTGAAAGCATTTTTTTTACAACCTCTTCGCCGAAGAGGTTGTGTAAAAAATGGTTTTAAAAGTTTTTTTTAAATTGGCCATGCACACCCAAGTCACATTACCCCCACCAAGCCACGCCCACAGAACCGGTAGTAACAAATTTTAGATTTCACCGCTGGTTCAGTTTATGGTTGAAGTTCAGCTTATGGGTGAATCGCCTGCCCACACCTAATGTGGCCAATGTTTTCTCAAAATAACAGGATTGGAAGGGACCTTGGAGGTCTTCTAGACCAACCCCCTGCTCGAGCAGGAAAACGCTGTATCATTTCAGACAAATGGCTGTCCAATCTCCCCTTGAAAACCTGCAGTGATGGAGCACCGACAACTTCTGAAAGCAAGCTGTCCCACTGATTAATTCACAGAGCAAAAGAATACCAGCGTTGGAAGGGACCTCGGAGGTCTTCTAGTCTAACCCCCTAACCGAGGCAGGAAACCCTATATACCATTTCAGACACATGGCTGCCCAGTCTCTTCTCCTCCCCCTTTCAGCCTCTGACCCAAATTTACTTACAGCATCAGTCAGGTCCAGCTGGTCTGGGGGCTTGATCAATGTCTTGGCCTGGGACCATTCGTCGGCCCCCTCACCCACTTCGACACCTCCCTCTTCATCCTAGAAAAAGGACCACACAGCCAGTTAGTAACCGTCAATGCTCCGGGAAGTCCATGGGTGCCTTCAACCATTCCGGTCTGCTTCTGCATTGACGGCCTGGAAGCAGCCTGGAATAGTTTGGGATTTTTGCCTTTTGAGGGGTCCACGGTGCTCTTTGAGCTTGGCTGACTTCTAGCAGATGTTTCATGGCCCACAATAGATAGCATCATCATTACTAGACTGATGAGGTTACCTACCTGGGTCAAAAAATGTCTGCAAGAAAACAACCAAGCTCAGAAAGCAGTAAGAACTCCACAGCTGCTGCCCTCCTCCTCCTCCCCTCCTCCTCCTCCGCTCCTCGCCTCTTCTCCTCCTCCTCCCCCTCCTCCTCTCTCCCTTCTAGCACTGATGATGTTATCTAGTTGGGTAACGAAACATCTGCAAGAAAACCAACCAAGCTCAGAAAGCAGTAATAACTCCACAGCTGCTGCCCTCCTCCTCTCCTTGTCTCCTTCCCCCTCCTCCTCTCCTCCTCCTCTCCCCCCCTCCCCCCTCCCCCCTCCTCTCCTCCTCCTCCGCCTCTCCTCTCTTTAAACCTCTCTCCCTTCTAACACTGATGATGTTATCTAGTTGGGTAACGAAACATCTGCAAGAAAAACAACCAAGCTCAGAAAGCAGTAATAACTCCACAGCTGCTGCCCTCCTCCTCCTCCTTGTCTCCTCTCTCCTCCTCTCCTCCTCCTCCTCTCCGCCTCCTCTCCTCCTCCTCCGCCTCCTCCTCTCTTTAAACCTCTCTCCCTTCTAACACTGATGATGTTATCTAGTTGGGTAACGAAACATCTGCAAGAAAACAACCAAGCTCAGAAAGCAGTAATAACTCCACAGCTGCTGCCCTCCTCCTCCTCCTTGTCTCCTTCTCCTCCTCCTCTCCTTCTCCTCCTCTCCTCCTCCTCTCCTCCTCCTCCTCCTCCTCCTCTCTTTAAACCTCTCTCCCTTCTAACACTGATGATGTTATCTAGTTGGGTAACAAAACATCTGCAAGAAAACAACCAAGCTCAGAAAGCAGTAATAACTCCACAGCTGCTGCCCTCCTCCTCCTCCTTGTCTCCTTCTCCTCCTCCTCCTCTCCTCCTCCTCCTCCTCCTCCTCCTCCTCCTCCTCCTCCTCCTCCTCTTCTCTTTAAACCTCTCTCCCTTCTAGCACTGATGATGTTATCTAGTTGGGTAATGAAACGCCTGCAAGGAAACAATCAAGCTGAGACAGCATTTAGGAATTCATGGTCATTCCCCTCCTCCTCCTCCTCCTCCTCCAAGTCCTCCTCCCTGCAAACCTCTCTCCCTTCTAGCACTGATGATGTTATCTAGTTGGGTAACGAAACATCTGCAAGAAAACAACCAAGCTCAGAGACCATCTGAGCTGTAAAAATTCTCCTTTTTTTGGTATTTTTGCCATACAGATATACTGCTTAGCAAAGAAGGCCATTGCAACTGCCCTCCATTCCAGTCAGATCTGGAACCCATCAGCGTGTCCTGATCATTCAGGTTTTGAGCTCTCGGTACATTCTGCTTTTTTAAAAAAAAAAAATTTTTGAAGAAGCATTTTAATATCTACGGTAGCCTGAATGACAGAAATTGGACGAGCACTCTTTCGAAGGGAAAGCTGCGTCTTTGGTGGCAAAGGCAATAAGGCATGCTACTGTGGCAGCGTGGCATAGATGTTGACGCAGAATAATTGATTGACATTCATAGCAGAGAGAATATGCAGCTCGGGGTGAACAGAGGGGTTCAATTGCTGAAATCCATAAGACAAAGATTTTTTAAAAAAAATAGGATACGCCCATTGGAGTCGTCTTGTGGTGATTTTGTTGTTTTTGTGTGCTTGTGTGCCTTCAGTCTGCAGGTCAGTGGCTAGATAAGTTCCCGCTGTTTTCTTGCCAAGGTTTCCCTGGAGTGGTTTGCCATTGCCTCCTTCTTAGGGCTGAGAAAGAGGGACTGGCCCAAGGTCAACCAGCTGGCTTTCATGCCTAAATTGAGACTAGATTTCACAGTCTCCTGGTGATTGGCCCAAAGTCACCCAGCAGCTTTCCTCTAAGGTGGAGCTATAATTCACAATCACCTGGTGATTTGCCACAATCACTGGTGATTGGCCCAAAAAGTCACCCATTCAGCTTTCATGCCTAAACTGATACTAGATTCACAGTCTCCTGGTGTTGGCCCCAAAGTCACCCATTCAGCTTTCATGCCTAAAATGATACTAGAATTCACAGTCTCCTGGTGATTGGCCCAAAGTCACCCAGCCAGCTTTCATGCCTATACTGATACTAGAATTCACAGTTCTGGTGAATTGGCCCAAAGTCACCCAGCCAGCTTTCATGCCTAAACTGATACTAGAATTCACAGTTCCTGGTGATTGGTCAAAGTCACCCAGCAGCTTTCCTTCCTAAGGTGGAGCTATAATTCACAATCACCTGGTGATTGGCCCACAATCACCTGGTGATTGGCCCAAAGTCACCCAGCCAGCTTTCATGCCTAAACTGATACTAGAATTCACAGTCTCCTGGTGATTGGCCCAAAGTCACCCAGCAGCTTTCATGCCTAAACTGATACTAGAATTCACAGTCTCCTGGTGATTGGCCCAAAGTCACCCAGCAGCTTTCCTTCCTAAGGTGGAGCTATAATTCACAATCACCTGGTGATTGGCCCACAATCACCTGGTGATTGGCCCAAAGTCACCCCAGCCAGCTTTCATGCCTAAACTGATACTAGAATTCAGTCTCCTGGTGATTGGCCCAAAGTCACCCAGCCAGCTTTCATGCCTAAACTGATACTAGAATTCACAGTCTCCTGGTGATTGGTCAAAGTCACCCAGCAGCTTTCCTTCCTAAGGTGGAGCTATAATTCACAATCACCTGGTGATTGGCCCACAATCACCTGGTGATTGGCCCAAAGTCACCCAGCCAGCTTTCATGCCTAAACTGATACTAGAATTCACAGTCTCCTGGTGATTGGCCCAAAGTCACCCAGCCAGCTTTCATGCCTAAACTGATACTAGAATTCACAGTCTCCTGGTGATTGGCCCAAAGTCACCCAGCCAGCTTTCCTTCCTAAGGTGGAGCTATAATTCATAATCACCTGGTGATTGGCCCAAAGTCACCCAGCCAGCTTTCCTTTCTAAGGTGGGGCTATAATTCACAATCACCTGGTTTCTAGCCTAATGCCTTCACCATTGCATCATACTGACTCTTCATCTTGTGTTACGATTATCTGAAATGTTAAAGAAACCAGAATGTGGCCAGAAACATTTCGGAGGAAAGGCCAATAATCTGGGAGATAAGCACCAGTGTCTGAATCCTAAAAAAACAACAAATCCATCTAAGCCACCGGCCGTTCCTTTGGATAATTTATTTCCGTCGTATCTTCGCTCCATTTAATCATCCTGATTTGTTTGCAGAGTGACATTTGGAGTTCCTCCGATTGCCTTCTCTTCCCCTCCTAAATTAATCATAATTCTGGGTCCTTCTCACGGGCTGCACGATATATTTCAAAATGTCACTCTTGGCAAGCTTGCATTTTAAACGTCTTTCGAGGCAGAGGCTGGGATCGTTGGACGGGAAGAGCGGTTTAGCGTCGTTTGATAGAAAGGCAATCAAGGATAAGCGGCGCCTCGTCCTCTTCTCACAGACACAAGGAGCTTTTGTAAGAACGGTGCGCGAAACGGCAGTTGTGAGCCGGCCGAGATGAAATGCAAATGATGGCCTGTTAATCGGGGCATCGTCACACAATTATGATGGCAGACGTCAGGAGGCATGGAATATCATTTGCCCCCTGCCCAGTCCCTGCAATTGCCCTGTGGGGTTGGCATCCCATAATAGGCCATCATTTCTCATCCGGGTTCCAAGAGCAATCCGCGTTTCCTAGACCTAGACTGACAGAAGTGAGTTTTTGAACCTTAAGGTTGGAAATGTGGGTCCTTGGTGCTCTCTGAGCTTAGTTTGGGGGGGGGGAGGCGGTTTGCAGATGTTTCATTGCCCAACTAGGTCACATCATCAGGGCTAGTGAGTGTGGGGTTTCTGGAGAGGAGGAGGAGGAGGGGACAGAGGTTGGGAAGGAGGGAGGGAGGAGGAGGGTAGAAAGGAGAATGGGATGGGAGGGAGGGAGGGAGGAGGAAGAAGAGGGGAAAGGAGGAGGAGCGGGAGAGGGGGGAGGAGGAGGGGGAAGGAGGGAGGGAGGGGAGAGGAAGAGGGGAGGAGGGGGAGGGAGGGGGGGGGGGGGGGGAGGAGGAAGAGGAGTGGGAGGGAGGGAGGAGGAGGCGGAGGAGGACTGTGAAGTCCTTGGTGGTTTTATTTCAGACATTTCAATACACAACTAGGGAACATCATCAGTGCTAGAAGGGAGAGGGGTTTGCAGGGAAGAGGAGGAGGAGGAGGGGAATGACCATGCATTCCCGAAATGCTCTCTGAGCCTGGTTGTTTCCTTGCAGGCGTTTCATTACCCAACCAGATAACCACATCAGTGCTACTGCTCGTTACATCAGCACTGAGGATGTTAGCTAGTTGGGTAATGAAACGTCTACAGGAAAACAGCCAAGCTCAGGGAGCCTGAAGGAGCCACACAGTGGCAGTTCTTACCCATTTACCTCCAGCCTTGCAGGCTGCAATTTCTTGCTAAAGTTGTAGCTTATCTTCCCCGAGGCATGTTTCCATGACAAATTATTTTCTTGGAAATTAGAATGCTGCCGTCTATGATGTCAACTTGCCAACGAAAGCCTTTTCCTTAATTTAAAAAAAAAAAATCTTGTTCCTGATGGTTTGAATTGAAGAAATTCTCAGGGAGCGTTAGCTACTGCTGCTCTTGGAGCCTGGTTGTTTTCTTGCAGAAGTTTCATTAACCAACTAGATAACACATAGAAATTGTAGAATCCTTGGGCTGGGAGGGACCTTGAAGGTCTTCTAGGCTGACCCCTGCTTGAGCAGGAATCCTCATACCATTCCAAACAAACAGTTGTCCCTAGTACAGGTCTCC